CCAGCTTGGATGTGCAGGTGTCTCCTGGCCCCTTTGCATCACCCTGTGGGGCTCAGAGAACCAGTGCAGGAAGATGCTGATATGCTGGCTGCCTCTCTTGCTGGGAGTAACAAGCTGGCCTTTGTCTCCAACCCAGCATCTTGTGTCCGCCAGCATCTGTGCAACTGTGGCAGGCTCACTTTTTAGCTTGCGGGCAGGAACAAATCCCAGACCCTCCACAGCTCTTGATAATGACGGTTATGATGGGGGAAGGAGGGAAGGAAGGTGATGATGGTGATCAAAACCTCACAGTTTGGCCAAACTCATAAAGCAGCTTTGGAGGAACCCCAGGCTGCCGGGCCGGGTGCTGAGGGCTGGACTACACAGCACACACGCACAGATCCCTGGCCTTGGACATGGGCCAGGCATTGAACAGTAACGGGGTGTGGGCGCCCTACGAGCCATCATGTAGGGTATGGGGGAGCCCCTGGGAGGCCTTGCTTCAGTCCAGCTTCTCCCCATTGTGGTGCTTGGCCCACTCCAGCCTGGGACCTGGGCCCCTTGAACCTTGGGGGCTGCGTTGCCCCTGCCCCAGAGTCCAGGCTGAATCTGCTCCCTCCCCGCACCCCTGTGTGGGTGTGACACTCACCCACTGCCCAGGGCCCAGAAGCTGTGGTTCCCCCCACCCACTGGGGACAGCCCCAGATTTCGGGGAGAAAAAGGGGCTGTCCCTGAACTCGGTGACTCCAGTTGTGCCCCATCCTCCACCCTGTACCTGTCACGGCCTCTGGGCAGCCGCCACCGCAGACCACATTCTCCTGCGGTGGCTGCAGTCGGAAATCCTGGTCTGGCTGGACGCTGGGGACCCTCGAGGGAAGGGCAGGGCCTTCCCAGCTGGTGCAGCTGCAGCTCTGGCCGCCCAGGCTTGTCCCCACCCCCTCCCTGGACCAAGAATGGCCAAGGGCTGGATTCAGGCTGAGCCAAAGAGGTCTGGGTCCAGCTGTCCTGTTCAGCAGACCCCCTGCTCAGGGTCCCTGGCTCCTCTGTGCCCCGCCCCCACCCATCTCCCCTGGAGCGGAGGGGTGTGTCACGTCCAGTCGTTTCTGCCCTGCTCCTGTGTCAGAGGGCGCCCCCTGCCTCCTGCTGGTCAGCTCCCCGCCCATTCTCCATCCCACAGGCCCCAGAGACCTGCCTATAGTCACAGTGGAGTCTTCTCTCCCAGGCCTAGGTCTCCCCAGCTCCCCACTCCCCACCGTCCCCAAAGCTTAAGCGGCTGCTCCTTCTCTTAACATCTTCAGCGTTTTGCTCCTGGGGGCTGGAGGGTCTGAGGCAGAGGGGGACAAAGTGTCCGTCTGGAGATACGACAAAGTTTCTGGAATCAGGGTCTGGCTCTGTGGTCCCCGAGCCCCCTCTGAAGGGTGCCCGGGGAACCCTGAAGGCCCCAGCTCCTCTGGCGATCCCGGGGCTGCGGCCCCCCAGCTGCACTTTCCTCCAGCAAATGGGGAGAGAGTCCTGCTGCTTCTGGAGATGCCACAGACTCGCCCACCTGGTAGCTCCTACGGATGAAGAAACTGAAGCACAGAGAGGCAGAGTTTCTTTCCTAAGACACACAGCTACTTGGTGTAAAGACCGTGTCCTGGGACTTACCAGTACTAGCCGGAGACCTGGGAGGACCAGCCTTTTTGGACATGGGGGTGGGACCCAGCCTGGAACTAGGAGCTTTGGAAAATTTCCATGCTTCAACCTCTAACTCTCCCAGTCCAGCCACAGGGGATGCAGCCAGAGGGGGAGGGCCCGGTACGGGGCAGCAGAAACCAGCTGTCAAGGGAGGAAACGCCCAGAAAATGTGGCTCTCAGAAGTGGGAGGCGGGAGACCTGGGGGTGGGGTTGGGGGGTTCCTGTGAGGGAGAGGAAGGGGTGCAGGGGCTGGACTCTGTTCTTCATCTTCCTGGAGCCCCGGCTTGTCCTGGGGTGGGGGTGCTTAAGGTGAGTCACACCAGTGCATGGTCAGATCCTCACTTTACTTACTGTTTCAGTGCTTTACTCATATGGATTTTGGGGGGTTTTAATTTCAATTTTTAAAAATATTGCATTAAATATTATTTATCTTTTTTTTTTAATTTGGCCGTGCCATGGGGCTTACGGGATCTTAGTTTCCCAACCAGGGATTGACCTCGTCAGTGACCTCGTCAGTGAAAGCATGGAGTCCTAACCACTGGACCTCCAGGGAATTCCCAAAATATTATTTTTCTTGATTACTGAGTTTTGGGGCACTTCCTTAAACTTCTTAGGCAAGGAGGGTGTCTTACTCATCTCACTCTAGTCTTGGCTGTGTCTGGAACTTGGGAGAAACCAGCTACCTCCAGCTCAAGGAACTGCTTTTTGCAGGGTCTGCCCACCCCTTCCCTGTGCTGGAGTGGGCGTGGCCAGTGCCCAGCAGGTCCTGCCCCACCTGACCAGGTGGGTTTATATTTGTAGGGCAGAACCTGTTTTCCAGGTCCTTTCCAAAGGCTTGGACTGACACCTGGGAGGGGTACACTCCCACGGTGAGGAGACCCCACTTTGGCAGGTGGTGGCTTTGTAGCAGCCATTGGTCGTTTAACTGTTCCACCAGCAACTATCAGCCGGGTGAATCCTCTTGGGACCCTGGGAGGGTGGTCCAGACTTACACATTCTCACATCCTTGTTCCATTCATAGGAAATGCTTCCGTCCTGATGGCTAACAAGACTAATGTGATTTATATTCGATTCTTACTTTAATCTTACTAAAAGCCAAACCACTAAATACTCTGGCATTTATTTCTCACATGGTGTCCAATAGTATCTGTTGCTAATTAAATAACGACAAATAGCCTTGTGACTTACCTTGTTTTTAAAAAGTTATAAATGTAGATAAATGAACGCAGAAGATCTACATCATTTTAATGTTGACCTCACCAGACACATCCTTTAATTTTCAGTGATTTATGACGTTCCTCAAAATGCCCACTAACAGGTTTACTCGTATTGACAAATACAGTGGGAAGGCTTCTAACAGGACTTTGTCCGAATAGTACATTTGGCAGTGAGGACTGGCTGTGCAAATTAGATCACTCGGTCAGACTCTTCCATAGATTGAATGATTCAAGTCAGCAGCCTCAGGTTTTGGAGAAAGCATATACTCAAAGCACATGATAAGATGCAAGTATTTTTCTCAAAAGATATCATATTGGCAAAGCTGCACTAAGATGATATTTAAAATTTCCCCAATCTTTATATCTTCTTACACAAGGGGCCTCTTAAGTAAAGGAGTAATACATTTAACTAGTAAGTTCTGCTCAAGCCTTCTCGGTGTTTATCCCCGAGAAAATGAATGACAAGTGGCTGGGTGACACCTCTCTGAGGGTGGTTCCCCAAAAAGCTGACTCTGAGATGGAGCCGGCTTGCAGGCTCTCCCAGTATATGAGGCAATGAGCCCTCATCCCTGAGGGGTCTGGAGGTGCATCGAACTGCCTCCCACACGAGTCCTCTTGAAGTCGGGTGGTGTCCGTCCAATCCTTTGCTTTCCACAAAATTACAAGAGTATGAAATGGAGCTGTCAGCTGATAAATCATTTAGAGAAACTATTTTTGACCATCAACCACGAACGATTTTTGGCATATAACTAGGAAGGAGTTCACATCAGGCAGTGACACTGTATTACAAGACTCCTATTGATGGACCAAAGTTTCTCCGTGTTTCATATAGAAACGTAAGCCAGGACAGCTTTGATGCTGGAACTTACTTCATTCTAGAGGTAAATTATATTAATTGATGGATCCACGAATCAACACTAGTTAATAGTTATTTATGAAAATGTCAATGCATTTATGTTGTTTTGATCAAACTCTGCTGCTAATAATTAGGATATAACAATGTGGGAGAAAACTTTTAGCACTTAAAATCACGGGAAATGAAACAAATTCAAAAATTTTAAATGAATGTACATTATTATGACAGAGATGTATGATAGGATAATGAATGAGATTTTCAGGTATGAAAATGTATGAGCAGAGACCAAATGTAGTAAAGGATGTGGAATGGAAACAAGTCTAAGCAGAAGGAGAGATGGATGTTATAGAAGAATTTTAAGGACAGTGGAATCAAATCATGATGATTTTTAGGCTCCGATGAATATATGTAAAGGAGTGATGTGAACATTATACAATCTTCTGGTGACAATTTTCAGATGTCAAATTACAAAGGAACAGGCATCGTGGGGAAGCCCAGTTCTTAGAGGGTTGTGGGCAATAGTGTTGAGGGCCCACCTCAGGGTGTTGCAGGGAGGCCCTGGGTCTCAGTGCAGGACGATCAGGCACAAGTGACGAGAATGACCTCCGTGAGTCAGGGGCAACCAGCAGCCACCAGGGGCCGGAAGCTTTCCTTCCTGTATCTGGAATCTTCCCCCCACTCCTGAGAGAAGCCAGTGGAGAAGCTGAGCCTGGAGAGGGGACACGGCTGTCCTAGGACACAGCTGGCAAGGGGAACCCTCTGGCTCAAGGGTGCTGACGACAGTCTCCATGACTCAGGACCGAATCCCCACTCGCCATTTCTCAGCAGGATAAACAGAGGCCCTGAGAGCACAGAGGACACCGGAGCCTCAGGCCTGCCCTCCAGCTGCTCCGAGGTGGGTGGAGTGAGCGCTGAGCCAGGCAGGGAGGTTAGGGTCTCACTTCCCCATCTGCCTGTGTCACCGTTAGTCACTGCCAGCTGCTCCTACTGTCATCAGCTACTGCACAGTAATAGTCACCCTCGGCCTCGGCCTGGGCCCCGCTGATGGTCAGGCTGGCTGTGTTCCCTGAGTTGGATCCTGAGAACCGGTAAGGGATGCCAGAGGGCCTCTCCTTATCATGATAGATGACAAGCACTGGGGCCTGGCCCAGCTTCTGCTGGTACCAGTAAGCACTTTTACTTCCAATGTTGTTCCCCCCACACGTGATCCTGGCCGTCTGTCCCAGGGACACCGACACCGAGGGCGACTGAGTCAGTTCATAGGAGGACACAATGCCTGCAGGAGAGAAAAGGACAGGTGGGCTGGAGGTGAAGAACCCATGTCCAGAGACCCCCACCTGCCTGGCCTGGACTAAGCTCCAAAGATTCTCTGAGCCCTGAGGGCACCCCCTCCTGTCAGTCTCAGCCCCAAGGGCCCATGGGCCTGGCTGGTGGATGGAGCCTCTGAACAAATGAGAACCCCCTTCACTTTCTCTGGCAGGCGCAGCCCCTCGGGGCTCACACACAGCAGTGAGCACAGTGGGGAGATTTCAGCCCCTCCAGCCCCCCATCCTGCGGCAGGGCCAGGAGTCTCCTGTCCCCACGGGCAGTGCCCTGCTGAGCTCAGAGTCAGGGCCAGGCCTGTCCCCGAGTCCTGGGCCAGGGGTGGGTGGACCCTGGGGGCATCACCTGTGCAGTGAGCCAGGAGGCCGAGGAGGAGGGGGGTCCAGGCCATGGTGGAGGCACCCCGAGTCTGCTCCCCAAGGCCTAGGCTGGGCATGGTGGTTCCCAGGCCTCTCTTATCCCCTTGCTGGAGAGAGAGCTGCTGGGGATGCAAATCATCCAGAGCCCAGAGGGGTTGCCTGGGGAGCTCTGTGCTTTCAGAGAAGGGCTCAGTCCCCAGGGACACGGAGAGGGAGGGGTGGCCCCTGCAGACCCCGCCTCGGCCCGGGGGATCCTCCTCCACCTGCTGTCCCATAGTCTGGGAGTGACATCTCCACCCCAGTCTGAGTCCTGGCCTCACTCCTGGATGGGCCTGGCCACTGAGAGCTCAGAGGTGGATCTGTATTCTCTGAACTCATTCCATGGGTGACACTAAAAGGCTTAGACTGTATAGGATTCTCCCCCGTATCACAGCTCCTGGGCCCAAGATTGAATAAAATTCACGGTTTGACGAAGCACATGGAGTGTTCCAGGCCATTGCGGTGCTGTGTCTGCCCTGGGCTGTGAGCTCCTGGGGCTGTGTCTCAGTGTCCCCATCGTGCCTCAGGGGCAGGAACAGACAAGGGGCTAAAAGAAATGTTTGCTCTGTGAGAGAATGAGAGGGGGCTTCAGGGTTTAATAACTCTGCAAGGGAATGTCAATCCTAATCCATTTCCCTTCAGTTGCTGGGAACATATGTATGTCATAAACATCACAATTACGGAAAGCTAATTGAGTGACTGCTGTGTGTCAGACACTGGGAAACAGGAAGTGTGGAAATTTCTGGTTCCCTCCTTTCCCTGTAAGGGGTAAGTGGAGGGACAGGTAGGGGGGCAGTGGGAGAGCTTCCAGGGAGTAGGAGCAGCTGTGTCTGGAGGACGGGGGCTCCGAGCACAGGGAAGGGAGTGGCAACGTGTGGTCACAGGAAGGATGAGCATTTCTGGACAGCGGTGGCTTTTTAGCAGTATTAGGTGGGCTGGCAGTGGGTGTGGGGCAAGGAAACAGGCACTGTCTCCAAGAGCAGGACCTGGGACACACGGAGACAGAAATATGTACTTGAGAGTGAAGGTGACACTGTAGGAACAGAAGGACACTTGTCCTCAGGTGTGAGGTCCTGGTTACTCCTTCCCCTGCACTGGAGCCCTGATGCCCAGGACACCACTCCTCCAGGTGGCTCTGCCGGGCTACCTCTGCTGCCCCCTGGTGGCTGCTCCACACTGGAGGCGGAGACTCAGTTCTAGGTGTAGATTTCAGAGCCCACTGCTCAGGTGGTGATTTCCCTGATCCAGGGATGGTGACCCCAGTCAGGATTTACTCCCCCTCCGTGGCTCTGTCTGCCTCACATCCTGGCACGAGGGGCTGAGATTCCCCGTGAAGATATGAACAGACTCATCTGGAAGAGGAGAGGGCTGGGCTCACGGAGGCATCCCTGCTCCTGTCTGTGGGGTGGTGGGAGGTCACACAGGTGGGATGGGCAGTTGGGGACACCTCCCTCAGGGGATGGCTCTTATTGGTGCCAGCTTTGGGTATGGGCCTGATGCGGGGGTGGCGGCTACAGCTCCAAAGCCACGGTTAGGACCACACCCACGGAGAAATGTTCATTCAGACCCATTTTGGGCTGGCACATTCCCTCCAGGGAATTCAGCATGAACAGGACACAGTCCCTGCTTGAAGGGTGTTTCCATCCTGTGTGTGGGGCAGTGCAGGGGACACAGTGGCTTTGCACACCTGGCAGAGAATCTCCACCACCGTCACCTACACATTGCCTGCAGTGTTTATTTAAAAGCCAAACACTTGCTTCTTTCAGGTCTCTGGCTGTCAGGTTTGACCAGGTGGCCCAGCGCTGTTCTATGGGATGTAAGGGTCAGTTGGCTGGAGTTTATCTCGGGGAACTCTTGCTCTTGTAAAGGAAAGAAATAGCAGGAATTGACGCAGATCCTTTCCTCTTGAACATGGTGTGATAGCTGGAGCTGCAGCAGCCATCCTGAGGTCTGTCATCCACAAGAATGAAAGCAAGGCCAACACATAGGGACAAGGGACCTGGATGCTGGCAAGATCTTGGATCCCACATGGAATCTGTGATCACCCAGAGAACAAGAGAAATCTTCCCTCAGACTTATCTTGGTGAGAGTACAATAAGTCCTGCCTGTTCATGCCTCTGCTTTTCATCAGTGAGCCCTGAAATTAAAAAAAAAAAAATGTATTCTGACCAAGCAGGAAAAGTCTGAGCACAAATGCATCAGTTAACGAAACTAGTGATGGGGAAAGAACCCCATCGTGGTGTGTGCTGTGGGGATAATTAATCCAGAGAAGAGACAGACAATGACAGGCAGGCTGCTCTATAATCAGAGGTTGGGGGCCTCCGCAAAGGGGTAACTCTGGAGCTGCCCTCAGGACTGGGGAGAACCAAGTAGTAAGAAGTGAGCATGGGAAGGGCTGAGACTTGGCCAGTGGGGAGGAGTAGGGTGTGTTGGAGGATCTGAAAGGACAGGGCAAACTTGACGGATCTGGGATGTAAACCCAGCTCAGGGCCAGTGTAATATGTTCTCTGAGTTAAGAATTTGAGGGGCAGGAGCGACATGTATCAGGTGGAGCAAAGGGGATTCACACATAATAAAACCGGGTCTTTGCAGCTGCTTAGCACAGGCTGGAGCCCGGGAAGCAGGAACAGGATTGACACAGGTGGGTTGAGACAAACCCCTCGGCCTTCCCTACTTTCCCTGAGGGCTGAAGACCTTCAGGGGGGGTTACTAGTGCCTCTCCCCTGCCAAGTATCCACCATGCAGCCGTGCTGGTCCTGAGCCCTGTCTACTGCCCCGTGTGGTTGACCAGTCACTGCCTTCCATAAATGTCTGCAGATTTGCTTCTGTGACTGGAAGCCCAGGACTCGGGGAGCTCACTTGACAGGGAGAGGCAGGGGCTGAGAGAGGGAATGACAACGCCAAGGTCACTTGGGGGCTAGAGAGACGAGAGATGTCTTAATCCCTAAATAATAGCCTCTTCTGAGTGTTCTAGAACCAGACTGGGCCAGGAGGGGGCTGTGGGAAATTCTCAGCCTGAATTGTAGATTCTTCCTGTCAGCTCTCCCCACTGCCTCTGGGGGCGCTGCTGCACCTCCCCTGGGGCCGTCTGACACCTGGGAGGCTGACAATGCCCTGCTCTCCGTGGGGCTGAACAGAAAGCCCAAGGACAACACACTCCAGATTCAAAGCAACGAGAGCAGCCTTTTCATGATCTCTCCTCTGGAGGAATCCTGGAATTACTGCTTAGGTCTTAGGGATTCGGTGCATAAAATATCATCTCTTGCTGGTTCATGGTCCATTAGTGTGACAAGTTAATTGTACATTTAATAATCTGTAATTGTCAATACTTTTTGAACGTAATTTTTTCCCATGTGGTTTCCATCCTCCAAATTAGACATCCACCCTCATGCAAGACAGGAGTGCACTTGGAGGAAACTTTTGGCTTTTCTTTTAAAAAAAATCCACAGGTGGCATTTTAATATTTCTAATGTGGACCTTTCCCCTGGAGAATCTAGAATTCTGTGTGAAGCAGGAGATCTATGTGCCATTGTTCAGGTTGTTACATGTTTGTTTAAGCATTCTCCAGGGAATGGTCTTTGGGTGTAAATTCACTGTTTTCCAAGGTCACCCAGAAATTTCCTCATTGTACGTCTACGAGTTTGGCACTGGCTTTTTTTGTGAGGAAAGCCATGCATTGTAGGATGTCGAGGTTTTCTTTCTTTCTTTTTTTTTTTTTTTGCTGTACGCAGGCCTCTCACTGTTGTGGCCTCTCCCGTTGCGGAGCACAGGCTCCGGACGCGCAGGCTCAGCGGCCATGGCTCACGGGCCCAGCCGCTCCGCGGCATGTGGGATCCTCCTGCACCGGTGCACGAACCCGTGTCCCCTGCATTGGCAGGCGGACCGTCAACCACTGTGCCACCAGGGAAGCCCAAGGTTTTATTTCTTTACAAGAAGGAGAAACATATCCAGCCAACTGATAGGTCAATAGCTGTGCAAAAATCAACCCAGTTCCTCCCTGGATCCTGTTTCAGGTGAAGACTGAAGCTTTGGTATAACGGGGGTGTCTACTGTGAAATTGGGGCCCTACTTTGAAACAGAACAGATGTTCTCGGTGGTCCCCATCACTTACAACACCTACTCATAGGACCGCATGATAGTGGTGACAGTTTTCAGTCATCACTTTGGATAGAGAAATCGTTTTTTTGCCAGTTTCTTTCACAAACATTCTCACCGTAGCTTACTGGTCTCCAATGCAACTTTTTATAAAAATTCAACGACAATCGGATCTAACTGGGGATTCTGAAGAGTACATTGTGGATTTAGGTGGGAAAACAGAGACTTGGGGATATATATAACCTCCTCAGGACCCTGATGAGCATGTTGGGAACAGCTGGCCAACTTAGATCAGGTTCCCTGGAAGCCGATTCTGAGATGTTAAGTGCATGTCCTGGAAATCTGGAAGGAGATGAGGAGGGGAGACTGGGCAGAGGGGAGGGGACCCGGGATTTGGTCACACAAATGAGGACTCGGGGTTCTGCAGGAAAGTTAAAGCTGGCCCGTTCGGGTCATCCTAAACTGAGTCAGAGCCTGGGGATGGTGGCCTCAGGCATCATTCACCTGACCCTCTCTGACCAGGGGGATAAACCGGGGTGGGGGGCAGTTTTCTGCACCAACAGCATTTCCCAGTGAGGGCACCGCTGTGAGTTGTCACAGGCTCCCAGCAGCCGTAGATGAGTAGACGAGGCCAGAAGAGAGAAGGAGGTAGATGCCAGAATGCCCACTGCTCTGGTGTGTTCCATTCAGAATCCCAGCTGCCATGGGAGCCTGGGGCTTCAGCATCAGATGGGATGGGACATTCTGTGGTCAAATCCTAGACGGTTGGGCCAAGAGGGGCCCAGTGACCACGATATGGAAATGTGGGGAAAACTATCACTGGAGGGATGTGTCCCTCTGTCTGTCCTTCCATACAGGGCCTCTGTCCGAAGTTCCTGACCTGGCCAGACAGCACTGAGCCAGCCTGGTCCTGCCAGCCATAATCCACTCCTGAGCCCCCAGTGCAGAGCCTGCCTGGAGGGCTGGGAGGCGGGCAGCCTGGGAAGCTCATATCTGGGGGAACCGGGCCAGACCTGGCAGTGTTCTTCCACAGTCCCCCTGGGGCTGGAGGAGAGTGTGAGCCGGACGGGCAGGGGGTTTGTGTCTCACTTCCCCGTCCGCCTGTGTCACTGTGAAGATAACCACTGCTGTCAGCTGACCCACAGGAGTAGTCAGCCTCGTCCTCGGCCTGGGCCCCGCTGATGGTCAGCGTGGCAATTTTGCCTGAGCTGGAACCAGAGAATCGGTCAGGGATCCCTGAGGGCCGCTTGCTATCTTGATAAATGACCAGCACAGGGGCCTGGCCTGGCTTCTGCTGGTACCAATATGTATACTTTTTGTCCAGTAGGTCTCCAGAGCAGGTGATCTTGGCCGTCTGTCCCAAGGCCACGGACACTAGAGGCGGCTGAGTCAGCTCATAGGAGGCCACGGAGCCTGTAAGAGAGGATGGGAGAGGGGTTGAGAATGAAGGACCCATTCGCAGGGAGGTGTCCCACTCTGAGGCTGTGCCTGGGCTGAACTCTGGGTTTGAGGCAGGCCCAGCCCAGGGTCCTGGGGGGCCTGAGCCTGCGGGCAGGGCCGGAGGGCAGCACCTGTGCAAAGGATGAAGAGGGGGAACAGGAGAGGGGTCCAGGCCATGGTGGGGACGCCCTGAGCTCTGCCTCTGTGACACCACAGCAGCTCTGGGTTCTATTCATATCCTTTTATTCCCTCTCCGAGCTTTGAGGGGGGCAGTGAGGGTTTGGGTTTATGCAAATTTACACCCCCCTGGGGCTCCTCACTGAGATGGGAGTCACCCAAACCTCAGCCCAGGTGACTGTCACCCAGCTTCCTCCACGGCTTCGCACGTCCAAAAAATCAGACTTGGCCTCCAAGGTCTGAGGTCACAGTCACCTTCCTTATGTCTGACCCATGACCACTGTCGGAAACCATCCTGGCCAGTGGTCTCTCCTGGGCTGGCCCAGTGGGGCTATCAGCCTGGCAGCATCCTGGCCGTGGCCACTGTGCCCCTTTCACTGGGTGTCCTGGGGTTCACTGTGAATGCGACCCTTTAATATGGTTACTATGTCCTGAGAGGATGGCACAGTCAGTCCCAACTTCCTGCCAAGCACTGAAACTTGGACACCTGTGGACCCTGAGGGCTGGTTCCCGCTGGGCGTCCGCTTGGGCAGCCCCACCCTCTGTCCTGATGCTCCTGGCTGCGCTCTGCTTCCCCCTGCTGTGGAGTAGAATCAGACCAGGGCTCCCCTCCCTCAGGTCACCCCAAAAACCACCTGAGAGAGTGTGGACCAGGGAGTCCAGACCTGACTCTGAGCAGCTGTGACCCCTGCCCTGCCCGGCCCAGCACGGAGAGGTCACCTACACAGTGCAATTGTTATTCCTGTAACCATGTCTCAGGGTAGAAATGTCCTTCCTGTCCCTTTGGTTTTTTTAGTAGAGTAGAGTGTGCAGGATGAACTGTAGCTGCAAAGTGTCAAGTTCCATAGCAACGTGTGTAATCCCCTCAGGACCCAAGGTTCCTTGTATTTGGGAACCAAGATTGATACTATCCCCTCCCCAGGAGGTCAGTTGAGTGATGATGTTCCTGGCACTTGAGGTCATTTAAGCCCTTACATCATCATCATCGTCATCATCATTATCACCACCATCATCATCATCTTCATCACCATCATCATTACCATCATCTCCATCATCATCATCATCATTACCACCATCATCATCATTATCTTCATCACCATCATCATTACCATCATCACCATCATCTCCATCATCACCATCATGATCTCCACCATCTCTCCTCCTTTTTTTATTTTTTTATGTCACCTCACACCTCTCAGAGTTTGTGGTGCTAGCATTTCTACCTTAGCATAGTCTGCCTTTTTAAGGAAACTGGGGATCTCCTGCTTATTCCACTGGGATTCTATCCAGAAATCATACAGATGGCTGAACCCCTCTCCTCAGATTCCTGCAAAGTGACGACAGGAAACTCTAGGACCTCATAACTCACTGATTCCCTCTTTAGTTAACAATACACTTTGGTGGCCTTTTTATAATTTAACTTGGGAAAAAATTTCTTAAGGTCAGTACATACCTCCCCATTTTATAGCAGGTTAAGTTGTGACCCAGAGAGAGTAATCCCCAGATTAATAGAGAAAAGTGGGGTGAGCCCAGGATGGAGCCCAGGGGTCTTGGATTCAGACCCTGGCCCTTTGGGGCAGAACTTCATCAGGGAGGGAGGGGAGCATGAGGGCCAGGCTGGGAGGAGAGATGGGGTCCCCAGGATCACTGTCATCCCCACCGTATCCTTTGTGTTAATAGAAGCCCCCTCAGCCTGCATGTGGGGGTGGTCAGCGGGGCTGTACCCCAGATTAAGCTGGAGAATTTGTGGGGATGCAGGGCTTCCTGGCCATTCAGGGGCCTGGCTGGGTCCTGCTGCCTCTGCTGCAGTGATGCTTGGTCCTCATTCTCCCGAGCGGGTGTCTCATGGCCAATCTATTGGTTGAGAGCTGAGTCTTCAGGGGTCTGTAGGGCCTGCAGGTTTACCAAAAGTACCTTAAGACCAGCCTTTTTTAAAATTAACCTATTTTTTGCCTTTATTATAGTTCTTATTTCTTAGAATGACTGTAATTACTATCTCTGATCCTTTCATGTCTGTGTGAAGGGCTCTGTTAGCATTTCTGACAATAGAGAGCCACTGTCCTCCTGTGCACAGTGAACACACTCCTCTCTGTGGAACTTTTGCAAAAGATCCCATAGCCTCGAGTCATAAGGAATCTTAGCTGATAAATGCTGGATCAGAGAGAAGTGATAACCAAATGTGAGGGCGGGAACCTTGAGGATCTTATCCGGTAACAAAACTAACAGCTGAAATAAACTTCTGGGCACCTGGGAATGAGGCGGCTGTGGACTGGACCGATGAATGTGAATTCTCTGAAATACATATATACGTACATATATATGGAGAGAGAGAAAGGCTGTAACTGTCCAGGGCACCACGTAACCCATGTTACGACCAGGGAGAGGGTATATGGGTGATCACTACACAATTCTCCTGCTTTGTTGGTCAAATGACTTCAAAATTCAAATTCCTGTACTTTATTTCAGACTGAGCAATTTAAAAAATATTGTAAAATATACATACATAAGAGTTATTACTTTAATCACCGTGATGGTTCATTTTGTGTATCCATTTGACTCGGAAACCGAGGTCCCATTTACATTTATTTCTGCAGGCGTCCAAGGGTGTTTCTGGAGGACATGAGCATTTGAACCTGTGGGCTCAGTGAAGCAGGCGGCCCTCCCCATGTTGGCCTGGGAGGAACAAAAGGCCAAGGAAGGTAGAGTCCCCCTCCTCCCTGACGGGGGTGCTGGGACATCGGTCTCCCACCCTGGGACTGAGAGTCATACATCAGCTTCCCTGGTTCTCAGGCCTTCGGACTGAATCTCACCCCTGGCTCTGCCGGTGTCCACTTGCAGACAGTGCTTCCTGGGACTTCTCAACCTCCAAAACCTCATGGGAAGATTTCTCATAATAAATCCTCATAAAAAATTGATCACAATAAATCTCTGTCTATTCATACCTATCCTATTTGTTTTGTGTCTGGAGAAACCTAGATAATACAATCATTTTTGAGTGAAAATCCAGTGGTACTAAAACACATTCACAACGTTGTGCACCCATCACCATGATCTATTTTTAGAGCTTTTCATCACCCCAAACAGAAACTTTGCCCCCATCAGACAGTAATTTGGGGCACTTGGGATCTGGGGTCTAACCTGGGGACAGTGTGTCCAGGAGAGTGTCCCCAGGAGAAGCCAGGTGGATTCAGCACTTCCTCTGTGGTTTCTGTGAAATGTCAGGAGAGGAACGATCCCAGGGGACAGGGCCGGGTCTCAGGCCTCTCCAGGCTGCAGGTAGCCCCGCAGAACATGGGGCACCTCATCCAGGAGAGCAGGGGACCCAGCCCCAGGACTCCTGCAGCGGGTCCCACCAGGAGGAGTCGGATCCCCACAGAGCTCCGCTGGCTCAGAGAGCGTGGGCTCTCCTGAGACACGGGATCACACTCGGGCCCTGGACCACATCATGACCCCTAAAACTTTCCTTTCCTCTCAACCCTGACAGCAGTCTTTGTAGCTCAGAGCAGACACCTTTCTCCATTTTCATCAGGACGAACCAGGGCCCCAAGAGGACAGAGTGTCCAGCCCTGGAGGAGCCGGGCCAGGACCAGAGAGGATGCCCAAGCCTCAGGCCTGCCCTCCAGCTGCTCCGAGGTGGGTGGAGTGAGCGCCGGGCCAGGCAGGGAGGTTAGTGTCTCACTTCTCCATCTGCCTGTGTCACCATGAGGATTATAACTGCTGTCATATGACTGATAGTAATAGCCTCGTCCTCAGCCCGGACTCCGCTAATGGTTAGGGTGGCTGTGTTCCCCGATTTGGAGCCAGATATCCAGTCAGGGATCCCCGAGGGCTGGTTGCCATCACCATAGATGACCAGCACAGGGGCCTGGCCTGGCTTCTGCTGGTACCGTTGAACATATTTACTTCCAATGTTGTTCCCCCGACACGTGATCCTGGCCGTCTGTCACACCGAGGACGACTGAGTCAGTTCATAGGAGGACACAATGCCTGCAGGAGAGAAAAGGACAGGTGGGCTAGAGGTGAAGAGCCCATGTCCAGAGACCCCCACCTGCCTGGCCTGGACTAAGCTCCAAAGATTCTCTGAGCCCTGAGGGCACCCCCTCCTGTCAGTCTCAGCCCCAAGGGCCCATGGGCCTGGCTGGTGGATGGAGCCTCTGAACAAATGAGAACCCCCTTCACTTTCTCTGGCAGGCGCAGCCCCTCGGGGCTCACACACAGCAGTGAGCACAGTGGGGAGATTTCAGCCCCTCCAGCCCCCCGTCCTGCGGCAGGGCCAGGAGTCTCCTGTCCCCACGGGCAGTGCCCTGCTGAGCTCAGAGTCAGGGCCAGGCCTGTCCCCGAGTCCTGGGCCAGGGGTGGGCGGACCCTGGGGGCATCACCTGTGCAGTGAGCCAGGAGGCCGAGGAGGAGGGGGGGTCCAGGCCATGGTGGAGGCACCTCGAGTCTGCTCCCCGAGGCCTAGGCTGGGCAGGGTGGCTCCCAGGCCTCTCTTATCCCCTTGCTGGAGAGAGAGCTGCTGGGGATGCAAATCAGCCAGAGCCCAGGGGGTCTGCCTGGAGAGCTCTGTGGTTTCAGAGAAGGGCTCAGCCCCCAGGGACACGGAGAGGGAGGGGTGGCCCCTGCAGACCCCGCCTCGGCCCGGGGGATCCTCCTCCACCTGCTGTCCCATAGTCTGGGAGTGACATCTCCACCCCAGCCTGAGTCTTGGCCTCACTCCTGGATGGACCTGGCCACTGAGAGCTCAGAGGTGGGTCTGTATTCTCTGAACCCATTCTGCGGGTGACAAGCTGGGACTTAGATAGGGGTAAGGTCCTGCCCTGGATCACAGTTCCTCAGTGACAGAGGTCTTAATCCCTAAATAATAGCCTCTTCTGAGTGTTCTAGAACATGTCTGGGTTAGGAGGGGGTGTGGGAAATTCTCAACCTAAATTGTAGAATCTTCCTGTCAGTTCTCCCTGCTGCCTGAGGGTGGCGCTGCTGCACCTGCCCTGGGGTGGGAGTCTGACACCTGGGAGGCTGACAATGCCCTGCTCCCCGTGGAGCTGAACAGAAAACCCAAGGACAACACACTCCAGATTCAAAGCGACTAGTGCAGCATTTTCATGATCTTTTCTCTGGAATTACTGCTTAGGTCTTAGGGATTCGGTGCATAAAATATCATCCGTTGCTGGTCCATGGTCCATTAGTGTGACAAGTTAATTGTACATTTAATAATCTATAATTGTCAATACATTTAAAAAATAAATTTAGTTATTTTATTTATTTATTTTTGGCTGCGTTAGGTCTTTGTTGCTGCACGTGGGCTTTCTCTTGCTGCAGTGAGCAGGGACCACTCTTCATTGCAGTGCGTGGGCTTCTCATTGCGGTGGCTTCTCTTGTTGCGGAGCACAGGCTCTAGGCATGTGGGCTTCAGTAGTTGTGGTTTGCAGGCTCAGTAGTTGTGGCTTGCGAGCTCTAGAGAGCAGGCGCAGTAGCTGTGGCACACGGGCTTAGTTGCTCCGCAGCATGTGGGATCTTCCCGGACCAGGGCTCAAACCCGTGTCCCCTGCATTGGCAGGTGGGTTCTTAACCACTGCACCACCAGGGAAGTCCTGTCAATACTTTTTCTTTTTTTTTTTAAGATTTTTTTGATGTGGACCATTTTAAAAAATCATTTATTTATTTATTTATCTATTTATTTATTTATTTGGGCTGTGTTGGATCTTTGTTTCTGTGCGTGAGCTTTCTCTAGTTGCGGCAGGCGGGGGCCACTCTTCATCACGGTGCGCGGGCCTCTCACTGTCGCGGCCTCTCTTGTTGCGGGCCACAAGCTCCAGACGCGCAGGCTCAGTAGTTGTGGCTCATGGGCCTAGTTGCTCTGTGGCATGTGGGATCTTCCCAGACCAGGGCTCGAACCCGTGTCCCCTGCATTAGCAGGCAGATTCTCAACCACTGCACCACCAGGGAAGCCCTATCAATACTTTTTGAACATAATTGTTCCCCATGTGGTCCCCATCCTCCAAGTTAGACATCAGCTCTCATGCTAGACAGGGATGTACCTGGAGGAAATTTCTGGCTTTTCTTTTCAAAACAATCCACAGGTGACATGTTTATATTTCCAATGTGGACATTTCCCCTGCAACCTCTGGAATTCTGTGTCAAGTAGGAGATTTATGTGCCCCTTGTCCAGGTTGTCACATGGTTATTTAAATATTCTCCAGAGTAATGGTCTTTGTGTGAAAAGTTCACTATTTTTGTAGGTCATCCAGAAATTTCCTCTTGCACCTCTAAGAGTTTGGACAGTGGTTTGGTTAGCAAACCACTGAGGCTGTCAGGATTTTCTTTTTTTACATGGAGGAGAAACATATCCAGCCAACGAATGATGGGTTAATAGCAGTCCAGGTACCAGCCCAGTTCCTCCCCGGACCCTGTTTCAGATGAAGACAAAGGTTTTGGTATAACTGAGGTGTCCACTGTGAAGGCTGGGGTAGCACTTTGAAACAGAACAGGTGTTCTTGCTGGTCGGTCCCCACCATTTTTTTTTTAGCTGACTTTTAAAATTGAAATATATTTGCCGTATAACACTGTGTAAATTTAAAGTGTACAACATGGTAATATGTTACATTCGTATATTGTCCACTGTAGCCATAATTAACACCTCTATAACATTACATAATTATTCTATAAAATTAAATATTTTTTCTATTGAATTATAGTTGATTTACAATACTATATTAGTTTTGGGTGTACAACAGTGATTCGATATTTATATAGATTACATTTCATTTAAAGTTAATATAAAATATTGGCTATATTCCTGTGTTATAAAGTATGTCTTGTAGATTATTTATTTTATACATAATAGTGTGTACTTCTAAATCTTTACCGTATCTAGCCCCTCCGCCCTTTTTCTCCCCACTGATAATAACCACTTGTTTGTTCTCTATGAGTCTGTTTCAGTTTAGTTACATACATCCATTTGTTTTCTTTTTTTTTAAGATTCCATATATAAGTGATTACATACAGTATTTGTCTTTCTCTGTCTCACTGATATCACTAAGAATAATGTCTTCCGGGTCCATCTGTGTTGTTAGAAATGGCAAAATTTCATTTGGCATTTAATATTCCATTGTATACATATGCCACATGTTTATCCATTCATCTGTTGATAGACACATAGGTTGCTTCCATGTATTGGCTCTTGTAAATAATGCTCCTATGAACATAGGAGTGCATGTGTTGCTTTGAATTATTGTTTTCATTTTCTTTGGATATATACCCAGGAGTGGAAATGCTGCATCTTATGGTAATTCTATTTTTCATTTTTTGAGGAACCTCCCTACTGCTTTCCAGAGTCGCTGCATTCCCACCATCAGTGTAGTTGGGTTCCCCTTTTTACACGTCCTCACCAACATTTGTTATTTGTATTCTTTTTGATGATAGCCATTCTGACAGGTGTGAAGTGATATCTTATTGTGGTTTTGGTTTGCATCTCTCTTATGATTGGCCAGGTTGGGCACATTTTCATGAGCCAATTGGCCATTTGCATGTCTTCTTTGGAAAAATGTTTATTCAGGCCTTCTACACATTTGTTTTTGGGTTGTTTGCTTTTTTGATATTGAGTTGTATGACCTGTTTATATATTTTTTGGATCCATAAACCCCTTATCTCTCATATCATTTGAATATCTTTGCCGATTCAGTAGGTTCCCTTTTTCATTTTCTTGATGGCTTCCTGTCTTCTGCAAAGGTTTTTTTTTTTTTAATTAATTTATTTTATTTTATTTATTTTATTTTTTTGGCTGCATTGGGTCTTCGTTGCTGCATGTGTGCTTTTCTCTGGTGGTGGTGATCAGGGGCTACTCTTCGTTGTGGTGCACAGGCTTCCCTTTGCAGTGGCTTCTCTTGTTGTGGAGCACGGGCTCTAGGCATGCGGGCTTCAGTAGTTGTGGCACACAGGCTTAGTTGCTCTGTGGCATGTGGGATCTTCCCAGACCAGGGCTCAAACCCATGTCCCCTGCATTGGCAGGCGCATTCTTAACCACTGCACCACCAAGGAAGCCCTGTGCAAAAGTTTTAAGTTTCATTAGGACCCAATTGTTTATTTTTGGTTTTGTTTTCTTTGTCTGAAGAGACAGATGGAAAAATATTACTACAATTTATGTCAGAGAGTCTTCTGTCTATATATCTATTTTTTGGGATAAAATCAGATATTTAATCCCCCTGGCATTTGTCATTTACTCACTTTTCACTTTAAAATGGTCCCCATATACAACACCTACACATGGGCAGATCCTGAGGGATCTGGGATTCAAACCCAGCTCAGGGTCAGAGTGATATTTTCCTTGAGTTAAGAATTTGAGGGGTAGAAGTGACACGTGTTCCGGTGGAGCAAAGGGGATTCACACGTAATAAATCCGGGTCTTTGCAGCTGCTTAGCACAGGCTGGAGCCATGGGAGCAGGAACAGGCTTGACACAGGCGGGTTGAGACAAACCCCTCGGCCTTCCCTATTTCACCTGGGGTCTGAAGACCTTCAGGGGAGGGGTTACTCCTCCTTCTCCTCTGCCTGGTACTCACCATGCAGCCGTGCTGGGGCTGTAGCTGCTGCATGTGCCTCTGGTCCTGAGCCCTGTCTACTGTCCTGTGTGGGTGACTAGTCACCGCCTTCCCCAAATGTCTGTAGATTTGCTGCTGTGATTGGGAGGAGAGGATTTGGGGAGCACACCTGACAGGGAAAGGCAGGGGCTGAGAGAAGGAATAGCAATGCCAAGTTCACTTGGGGAGGAAGATGGTTTTTCTGGTGGAACGTTAAAAACATTCTCCTTAAGTCTTAGGTTAAAGAGATCTTGCTTGAAAATGCTGGATCAACATGACTTGACTTGGGATGGTCATCACTAGCTCAGCCTCCAGTCTGGTCTTTGTCGCTTGTCTGCTCTGCCCATGGTCAGCGGAGAAAGGAGCTGCTCTTCCTACAGGGAAGGGAAGCCCTGTCCGTGGTGCTGATCCAGGTTCCGTGCCCTGGAAGGACCATGCGGGGAGGAAGGTGGAGCTGGCTACTCCAGCTTCAGCTGTCACTATGAAACAGGTGCATTAGACCAGACTACACAGAAGTCCTCAGTCTCTTCCTTTGGCTGCACCCCAGCGATGGTGAGCGCAGCTCTGCCCCCAAGGATGGAGCCTGAAAAGCAGCTGGGGATGGATGCCGGGCATTTGTCCGTGTGGTGTATGAGCTATACAGGAGTTTGGCCAGGTTTCTGCAGGAACCATCCTTGAGCATTCCCAGTTGTGCTGGATCCTGTACTCGTAGAGCCGGTGAGGGTGACTGTCAGTCCGGGCAACACCGTGAGGGAGAGCTTCTGGGTCACCGCAGGCTGGGAGCTGACAGCTGACGAGAACAGAAGGAGACGCCCATGGGCATCACAGTTAGGGCAACTCCTCCACAGGGCCCCTTGCCCAGGCCCCCTCCCCAGAGCCCAGGGAGTCTGCCCTGACCTGTGCAAAAGCCCATGAAGGGCACAGTGGTCCAGGACATGTTGGTGATGCTTGTACAAGCACTGCTTCCTGAGGACCGCACAGCTGGAGCCGGACTCCTTCAACTTAAATCTCTTCTCCATCTCTTCAGTGAAGGGCAGCCCTCATGCGAATCCCCCACCCAGCTTCCTGCTTGCACCAGGGCTGCATCCCAGCTGGGTAAACACCTGCAGATGAACAGTGGCTGGAGGGGTGGTAAGGGCTGTGTGTCTGTTTTCCTTCAGCAGTCGCCCACCCTCTCTGGGCGTGAGGGTCGTCACAGCTGCTGAGGCATGCTTGGGGACCACTTACAGGAGATGAAAATGGTGTCATTTGAAAAGATGCACAGCTGGGCCAGTTCCCCACAGAGATATGGAATCACAGTGTCCCCTGCTTCCCAAATGTCTGAAAATCTCCTTTCCCAAAAGAGACTTCAGGCCTGATAGACTTGACTTTGGGTCTCTGGTTGATTCCCTCTAAAATGAATCTCAGTTTTTCCTTGAAAACCTCTAAATAAAACTTCTCTGTCTCAAATCCAAGCTCTATCTGAGCTTAGAAGTCCTAGAATCCAGCCAGTAGCTCTGTATCAAATACTGTCTGTGTCCTCTGTTACATTCTGACATGAAGAGAATGCATGTGGACTTTTGGAGACACCCTTTTTGATTCCCCACAAAGTCTGGTTGTTTATAGACGTGAGGAGTAAGGGAACCTGGGACTTATTGCTCTGGGTTGGGTGTCTATTAACTAAGTCTTTTTCCAAGCCTCATGGGGGCAACTGAGGCAGGATGGAGTGGGGGATGTGACCCTACTCTTCTGGACTCGGTTGGATATTTTAGGCATGTTGATTCTATCAGATGGTGGCCCCCACATTGTAAGACGGCTCAGCATGGTGCAGGGATTTGGGAAGCTGAGGCAGCAATAAGTCTCTGAAGATTATTTGCCTCCTGGAGATTTGAACCCTAAATGGAGCCCAAGCACTCCCAGAGAAGGGACAGTGAAAGGGAACAAGAGAGGAAAGAAAACAAAGCTATTTGCTTAATACGCGCATGTGTGCACGCGCGCGCACACACACACACACACACACGTACTCATAACAAAATGAAGAGGAAACACTCATGACCATTCAGTCCTCATTTCTGTGACTGGTCACACAGTCATAGGTGGTATTTATAACTACCTTCTTCTACTATCCATTCTGTATTTCCTCTGCCTTAGCAAACGCCTCAGCTGGTCGTGGTTCTTGACTCGATGGGATGATGCAAACTTTCATTCCCAGAGGCTATTCTGGGCTATTAGCAGAACTGTTTGGACTGCCGGGTCGACCTTGGTTTGTGGTGGCCTTGGCCCATGTTGCTGAGTCCATGCATAATCTCTGTCGCTGTCAACATTGCCACTTGGTTTGTGAGACCATTGGATGAAGACAGAGGTGGCTGGGGAAAGATGCTGCCTGGAATCCACAGAATGGGCCAGCCTATCCACTTGATTATTAAAATTCTCCTCTGCTGAGGTCACGCATTGGTGAACATTCACATTGGACGCAAATATCTTCACGTAATTTTTGCCCTTTCAGAGAGGTCTATCCACGTACCTCTTCCCAAATTAATTAATTAATTAATTTAAATTAATTTTTTATTGGAGTATAGTTGATTTACAATGTTGCATTATTGATAGTTTCTGCTGTACAGCAAAGTAAATCAGCCATACATATACATATATCCACTCTTTTTTAGATTATTTTTACATATAGGTCATTACAGAGCACCAAATAGTTTCCCTGTGTTATACAGTAGGTTCTTATTCGTTATCTTTTATATATAGTAGTGTGTATATGTCAATCTCAGTCTCCCAGTTTATCCCCCCCTTTCCTTCTTGGTAACCATAAGTTTGTTTTCTATTAATACATCTGTGACTTAATTTCTGTTTTGTAAATATGTTCATTTGTACCATATTTTCTAGACTCCACATATAAGCGATATCACATGATATTTGTCTTTCTTGGTCTGACTTACTTCACTCAGTATGACAATCCCTAGTTCCATCAATGTTGCAACTTTATTTTTTCACCAACTTTCCATCACGTTGCTTCCAAGTCCGTGACCATCCAGCCAAACCAATGACTCGATATATAGTTGCACGTCGGGCCATTTCTCCCTCCAGAATGCACAGCCAGGTGCACTGTTGGAGGGTCTGCCTGTGGGGAGGGTTTCCTTTCACCGTGTCCTTCAAGGACGTCCCAGAGAGGGGCTGTCATGCTGTAGCTATCCACTTCTGTGCACTTTGATGTATGTGACTTGGTGGGTCAGATAGCACCCAGTTCATGGTGGGCAGTTCAGGCCACACATAACTATATTCGGGATCTGGAGAAATAACCACAGTATGGATTCGGGAACCAATGGGAGGCACTGTGAGACAGACCTGAGAAGAAATTCTACTGATCACCCCATCTCCACAAGCCCCTGCTCCGGAGGCCACAGTGGTGTTTGGGGGTCCCAGAATCAGTATCAGTTCAGAGCCAGCATCCAGCAGTCGCTGAAAAGTCTGATTCTTTTGTTTTTCTCCGTACACAGTTACCCTGATAATAGGCTATTGGTCCCTTTGGGGAAGACTGGGAGAAAGATCACAGTGTACATTTTTGGTAGTGTGTTAGGGTCCTTCCTCAAGGTGACTCAGCCTCTGCTTCATTCATGGGATTCTGGGTCTGTAAACTGCTCAAGGCTAGGAATTAACCGAGGGGCAGTGACTCTCTATTTTTATGATTTTAGCTAGACTTTTGTTCACTTGACCCAGAAGGTTTTTTGACCAAGTAGGAATTTAGCAGGCTTCCCACCGTTTTCACCTCTACAAATACCACGATTAACAAGCCAACGACAGAGATCTGTACGCATCAGGCTCTTCTGAATGCTGCTGTGACTCTTCTGTGACAGCAGCCTTGCCCTTGGCAGGCGAAGGCCGCCCCTTTGCCCCTGCCACCCAGGATCCAATTCCTCTCATTGTGTTTAGGATTTCCAGCTAAGGGGCTGCAGTTCCCATTATAAGGTCTGGCCTAGACAAGGGTGAGCACAGAGTTCTTCAAGGATGCTGGGGCTCCCCTCACAGATTTGTTTCTTAAAGTGTTGGTGAGAAGCACGTTTTCTGGATCCTCCTGGAGTGGATAGCAGGTCTTAAAACACAAATCCACTCTAACATTACAAACTCCCTACATTTTGAATCCATTTTTCTCCAGGAAGGTCTGGCATCTCTAGTTCACTCACCAGAAGCCATCTTAGATTTGGCTTCCGCCATCCAACCCGCAAACTGCTGAGGCTCTTTCTACCTCCCCGAGCTGCAGGGAACGTGAAACGCAGAGTGTGTGTGGAGTGAGCCCAGATCACAAATCCAGCTGATCCAGCTTGATGTTCCTCCCACCACTGCCCCCCACCCTGGAATCCCTTCCCAGCGTGTCCCGGGGATTTCTGTCTGTGTGAATTAGGGGAACCAAGCAGCTCTTGGAGTGCAGTGCCCCTCTCGAGGCTCACACTCTATTCTCATCTTAGGAGACTGCTGGGACCTGAGTCTAATTGTTGGTCCAGAAGCAAAGAGGGGCAATGGGGGGGGGGGG